TTTTCATTAATATTCTTGAAGTGATAGAAACCATATGAGTGAACATACAGAGATCTTAAAATAAAAAAAATAAAAAAATAAAAAAAGACTTTTGCATGCACAAACTTTTTTGTGCCCTCGAGAAACTATTCACATGTGCATGGGGATTTTTTTGCATGCTTACACAATTTCTAGTTTTATATAACCAATTTCCTTTGTGCATCACTGCTACCTTGCAATAAATAAAGCAAGAGCATGGATGCACATCAAAATTCGTCTTTCCTTATAGTAGTACCTCTAATATCAAGGCCTAATGTCCAATTTAGCCTCTGCGGTGGCGGAAAAACCATGACACGAAATGGGCTGATGGCATAATATGGCTGTGTGCATTGTCCTAATTACCAAGTTCAAGAGTCAATAAAAAAAAGAGTGGTTTTGTAATAAAAAAAAAAAGTGTTCAAAATGTGGCTTAGGGCAGTATGTCATATTTCAAGGCCTTCGGTCTCTTTAACGCATATTCTGTGGCGGCCAAAAAACCACACCGCAAAATGGGCTGATGGCACAGGTGGCTCAGTATGCATTGTCCTATATGCCAAGTGTAATGGTTTCTCGTGCGCACATAAAAGTCAGTATATTTTTTATTTTTTACAAAGGTCCTTGAGGCTATGTAATATGGTGCTAAGAATATTGTGAGAAGAAACCCAAAATGCAAAATGAAAAAGTGCATCTTGCACTAAAGAATAACTAAACAGCTGCCACTTCTTGTATGATAAACTTATTTTCATTAAATTCTTAAATTTCTATTATAAAAAAAACTAAATAGGGGCAAAAGTCTGGAAATGCAAATATTTTTCCATACTCTGCTTTCTTTTTTCCACACTTATCCAGACCTGGAAATTACTTAAATCAAATTCCATACTTTTCCAAACCCCGTAGGAACCCTGTATGTTCACAATTGGTCAGTAAGTCCAAATGAATGGATCAAACAGGTGAAAATAGACTAATTACAAAGTAAACTTTTGGAAGTAAACCATTTTTGGCCTCATCTGAATTGAAATGAATGAAATGACTTTAAATGATGATCTATGAGAGAGCTGGGTTTTAGCAATCTGTCAGCTCGCTTAAATTATATATTAACCTTCATACCTGTCGCCACCATAACACCTGTGGTGTTTACAGGGGATTTGTTGACTCATGGTCTGAAAAGTGACAATTAATAACAACAGCTGAACAACAGAACAAATAATAGTTCATCTGACACAACTCTTCCACTTATTATTGGTACCAGCCAATTTGACGTAGCATGTCTTCATCATCATTTGGGATGCTGTGGAGAGGGAGAGCTGCTATCAGCCGATGAGCAGATGGAAGAGGAGGGGTTTTGGTATGTCCCTGTTCCTCTCTTGATAGTATGAGTCTTCCAGCTCAGGCCCTCTGGCTACATTACATTTTGTTGTCCCTTTAGTCTTGAGAGGTGGCCGGGGAGCCCACAGTAATTGAAGGGATTATTGTAATTTGTCTGCCAGGCTTGTCTGATTCATTAAGAGTTTAAAGGCTAACGACAGCTTAGAACAGCACACTCTGTAGCACTGCATGTAGCACATTTGTGTTTGATAATGTACCCTGATGTCCGCACAGACATACTGACCTAAACATATGATCACGGGAGAATATGGACTTTATAAGTCTGTTGTATTTAGGTTAAAGTTGCATTACATTTACATTGCACATTCCCCTAGAAATCGAACACATGACCTTGCCTTTGCTAATGCTATGCTCCACTGATTCAGCTAAAGGAATGCTTTATGTTTCTGACTGAAAGGACATATGTATACCAACCCTCTACATTGCGAGTAAATCACTCGCATATGTGACTAAATCTTCACTCTGGGCGACTAAATGATGTATAATATTAGCCAATTGCTAATATTAAATTCTCAGATTTTACTCGCCAGTGTGTGAGTTGGAGGCTAAGTATAAGTTTAGCACAGATATATTTTCACTCTCCGAACACTCTCTGACTGAGCGCTTCAGAGTTTCACTCTCCGCCAAGCGACCTGCGCTGATTTTCAGTTCATTTCAATGGATGTGCATCGCACCTGTATTTAACGTACCATAAACTTTATGAAGGTGCACGACTCTCCGTCGCTTTGTTTCACACAAATGCAGAGGGAGAGAAGAGAGTTCCTTTGGAATTATTCAGCTTTTAAGAACTACCGCTTTCTCCGGTAGTGGGCGGAACTAATACGCAAATGGCAATCTCATTGGCTGGCGCTCGCCTATTATCGTCCCTGTTTTGATTTCAGCAAATCAGTTTGAGCGAACGCACACAACCAGATTAATATTCATGACTCCAGTAGCTCATTAATCCTTTTCTGCAAAGAAGAGTGGGCCAAAATTCCTGTGAAAGACTCATTGCCAGTTATCGCAAACACTTGATTGCAGTTGTTGCTGCAAAGGGTGGCACAACCAGTTATTAGATTTAGGGGGCAATTACTTTTTCACGTAGTGCCAGGCAGGTTTGGACAGCTTTTTTCCCTTAATAAATGAAATCATAATTTCAAAACTGCAATTTGTATTTACTCAGGTTATCTTTGTGTAATATAAAAATTTGTTTGATGATCTGAATCTTTTAAGTGTGACATATGCAAACAATTAAAAAAACAGGAAGGGGGCAAAAACTTTTTCACACCACTGTATATATATATATATATTATCAGTCTGGCGAGTAAACTAAAAAAATTACTAGCCAATGGCGATTCAATTGCTAATAGTGTAAAAGGATCTGAAATAACATTTCGGTAAAGGCTATTCAAGTTTACATAAAATATTTTGTAGAACTATTTTGTACAAATACATCCTTATTCTGAAAGCCTTTGTACATAATGTGTAATGGGTAGGCAGTTTTTTTTAGTATGCGGGTACAAGTGAGAAAGCCTGAGATTTTTTAAAAAGTCCAGAAATTGGATAAACTCTAAATAAATTAAAATAAAATAACAATAGTAATAAAAAAACAGATCACAACCTAGTCTTACCTAAACAAATAAAAATAAATTAATAAAATAATTGTATCATTTATTAGAATAAACCATATAATAACATATATTCCATAGCCTTATGAATATATAAAAAAAGAAAAAGAAACTGATCATTTAGTTTAGTAGATCATTTAGAAAATTATTTAGCAGATCATTTAGATAGTTTTATCCAAATAAACATTTTTTTTATTTAAAATGTTCATTTAATATCACTAAAAATTATGTATTGGAATATATCATATAATGGCATATATTGAAAAGCTTTGGATACAATTATTTTTATTTACTGATATTAAAATGAATTTTGTTTATCATATATTGGAATATATCATATAATAACATTGGACCCATTGAAATTCCATTATAAGAGGGTAGAAATGGTAAAGCAAGGCACTCAAATGGTAAACCAAAGCACTTGCAACACACCAAGTTCATGTGTTTGATTCTCAGGGAGCACACAAAGTGATAAAGTGCATACTCTGAGTGCTATGGTGCTGTCGCTTTGGATAAAAGCCTCTGACAAATGCATTAATTTAAATGTTATCAAGCTCACCAATCCATATCTTCGCCTTCTTAGACACATTAAGGAGCACATCGTTCATGAGCGTAATCTCTGCATTTTAATGTATGCTTCAGATTTTGCCCTTACCAATGTGCAAGTGAGGAGACTTGGGGGGGGGGGGACTCTGAAAGCAGAGTGCAGCTCATGGTCAGTGTGTGCCAGTTTGTGAGAAATAACCTTCAACCAAACTCGATAAGCGAGACGCGCAGAGGGCCAGGAGGCTGGGAGGCATCAGTCAGTGACAGGGCGAGGGCCCTGGAGAACTATAAATAACCCTGCAGAGGTGTCTGCATGCAGGGCAGCTGTGTATCGACAGTCCCTCAACTGACAGCAGGATCAGGCGCCACAGGCGACAGCCAGCAGAAGAACGGCTCCAAAAAACCACAGCCAACATTGACTCTCATTAAGCCTTGGAAACCTTTTTGTGAACCTAGAGGGAAGCAATGACTTTGGACTTAGGACAATAGGAGGCTAACTGCTGCACAGACAATACTTTTAAACTGACAAGAATTTAAAGACAAGAATTAAACTGAACAATGTGAACGCAAGTATTAGAAAGGAAACTGTTCTGACATGCAGTGGGTCTAATTAACTGGAGCCCATGTTAGCTCAATGGACATTGTACATTTCAATTGTTGAGATTTACTAGTTTTCTTAGTTGTTGTTCTTAACTTTAATGATTCTCATCTCGTGGGTTGTGACTTAAAAAAAATACAGATTACACTTGTGTCAACTTTGAATCCTGAAAATCTGGATTAGCTTTTGGTTTAGCTAATATACAGACCAAAATTTATACGCACACTTGCACTACAATGTTACATTATTAATTAAAATCTTCATGGGTTTGTTTGTTCAAGTGCTACCTGAGTGACAACTTTTTTTTCAGCTTGAAAGGAGATGGTAACAGCCGTAAAATGAGCCCCTACATTTATATTTGTGCTCCTCAGAGAACATCATCTTCTACATGAATCATTTCGGATTTCACGCTGTGAGTTCTGTCATTAGCTGCTCAGTGATTTCCATAAAACAAAAGGAAAGCTCTTGAGTTAATTTCAGCGGGAGACTGGAGAATAGATGCAGATGGAAAGAAGGGAAAGAGTTGGAGTTGGGCTATGATGGTTTTGAAGTTCGGTTTGATTCAGCAATGAATGTGTGCATGATGAAACTATGGATAAGCTTTTACCTTTTACATGTATCTTAACATACTTGAGAAAGACACAACTACAAGCAATTACGCACATACTGTATCTGCAAAACAACTAAATGTTTTATGTGTGGCAAAATGTTTTGTGTGTGTGACACAAATGGCTGGACTGAAGCAAGTGTAATTTTAGCAAAATCTTGTTTTACCTTCACTCTGCTTGGTCAAAGTCAGTCATACTGACATATGTATGGATAAGGGAATGAAACAGTGAACTTGCCGGAATCATCCAGTTGGCCAGATCTCCATACTTGGATACCTGCATGGCTCCTAACATGGTCAAGTTGATATGACCCCTAGAGGAAACAAAAAAATAAATCAAAGCAACAGTGGCAAAACAATGCCATTTTGCTGAAATTTCATGGGCAAAAAAGTTCCACTATCTATTTTCAATAGTGTAGAGATGTATAAAGCACACTTTCACATTCAAACCAAGCAGTTTTCTGTTGGTCTTTTGATATTTGCATATGGAATTATTTTGCTCCCACACAAAATTACTGGACTTTTTAAAATGGAAATTTCACTGAACAATGTTAAATGTAACCGTGTCTTTATTTGCCAATATTATGGCTAAATATTTAAGAGATTCAGAGACTGACAATTAACCTTATATGCTAATGTTTGGTGTCACTAATTAATAAAATAGAATTATAAAAATGTGCAAAAACATAATTTGGTTTCAATGATGTAATCCTGTCTGCAATAAAACACTAAGATCCCTTTTTTCTTCAGTATAGGAATCACAAGAAAAAGCCACTATTTTTGTAATGAGATCATGTCATTTGGTCATGGATTTAACAAATACAAGATATTGCACAAGATTTGTTTCAATACTGACAAACATTTTAAAGAAACAGGTAACAAGTTTATGTTGGTGAACCACAGTACTTCCTTATAACTCATGCTCAATAAGCACATGATTTAAACAGTCATTCAAAAAAAAAAAAAAACCTTCAGACTAGACTAAATCTTTTGTGTAGTAAGGTGTGCCAACAAGTTGAGCCTATTGGCCTGAATTAGTGCACCACTAAACCACTGGGTTGTCAGACGGTCTTATTCATGAATCTACAGACAGACTGTAAGTGGGTGGAAGGGCTCTTTTCTTAATGTACAGTGGGGAAAAAAAGTATTTAGTCAGCCACCAATTGTGCAAGTTCTCCCACTTAAAAAGATGAGAGAGGCCTGTAATTTTCATCATAGGTATACCTCAACTATGAGAGACAAAATGAGAAAAAAAAATCCAGAAAATCACATTGTAGGATTTTTAAAGAATTTATTTGCAAATTATGGTGGAAAATAAGTATTGGGTCAATAACAAAATTTAATCTGTCTTATTCATGAATCTACAGACAGACTGTAAGTGGGTGGAAGGGCTCTTTTCTTAATGTATGTGCTGTCATGATTCCCCTTGTGCCGGGTACAGCAAAGACCCCATGACCATTCACTGTGTTCCCTATTGCACCAGACAATTAAGTCCTAAATATATGACCGCTGCTGGATTCTCAGATGGTGAAAACAGAAATAACAGTGAAGCTTGTCTGAAGAAGGCGTCTGCTGCCTGTGGAAAAATCGATAAGGCTCATAAAACATCAACAGGGAGTTTTCTAAACGACATGGAGCTAATGCCTAACATACAGCTATGCAAATAACAGATTAAAGACAAATTTAACCCACTGTATGTGCTGTCATGATTCCCCTTGTGCCGGGTACAGCAAAGACCCCATGACCATTCACTGTGTTCCCTATTGCACCAGACAATTAAGTCCTAAATATATGACCGCTGCTGGATTCTCAGATGGTGAAAACAGAAATAACAGTGAAGCTTGTCTGAAGAAGGCGTCTGCTGCCTGTGGAAAAATCGATAAGGCTCATAAAACATCAACAGGGAGTTTTCTAAACGACATGGAGCTAATGCCTAACATACAGCTATGCAAATAACAGATTAAAGACAAATTTAAACTTATGACAGCACTAAAAAAGATAGCTGGAATGATTCGAAATAAGCAATGTATTTTTTACTTGCATAAATCATACATGAAAATATGTATTTATATGTATTTAACTCAACCTCAATTTTAACCATTTTATTTCATTTTAATATATATGTGTGTGTGTGTGTGTGTGTGTCTATTTATTTATATATTTATTTATTTAACTCAACTAAGAACTAAGAATTAAAGTAATGTTAACCATTTTATTTAATTGCGATGAATCATATAATTAAATAAAAACTAAACAAAATAAAAAAAATTATGTGGGATATATATATATATATATATACACACACATACAGTATATACTCCACATTAATTTAAGCTGAACTAAAATCATAATTTTTTTAATTAATTTTAATAATAAATGTAGACTTTTATATTATTTTTTAATTAAATTAGAAAAAAAATAGAAGCATTTTCCTTAGTGATCTCAGACTCCAGTAGCTTTTGGGCCTTCAAAAAGTACACTGGAAAAAAAAAACATCACTTAAAATGGTGTCATCAGGAAATTGATATTCACACACACAGGATGCACAATTACACACTCATGCACTTAAGACCAGCAAGAGTCAATTGCTTTATCGACAGCACCGCACGATCTCTCCGTGAAGGCCAGAACAGTCCCAGCAGAGACAAAGCACCTTCGTTCTGGCCGTCTCACCCTACTGAGCAGTACAAGAAGCATCCAATTAAAGTAGCCACCTGTTTTGACAGCGCTGAAAATGTCAGCCAACTTGGCCTGAGGCGCAGGCAGCATCACGGCCGACTCATTGCATATTCTGCCTCCACTCCATCCCTCACTTTCACCATTAACACTCAGCAAACAACCCTTTACCCACTCCAAATCAAGCCAAAACAGCCACGGCGCTTCATTCGACACGAAAAGTCACATTTATTTTCAGGAATGCCTAAGTGAGCTCTTCCACCCACAGCTGGCCTCTTTAAAAGTATCAGCATCTGGGTCAAAGTACTCAGCCTGTCTGAGGAACAATCTACTGAAAGTCAACTTGTGAAAATTTTTTTGCGTGAATGGTTACAAAACACTGAATATATATATATAAAAAGTCCTTATATATATGACTGAATAAAGTTTTAAGGACTTAAATGTGATTCGTCCTTACCCTCTGATCATGGCAAAGGAATCGTCGCTAGAGAAATAAGCGGCTCCAGGAAGAACTGTGACAGTTTCTTTACCTGAAAGAGTGAGGGTGAAATGGGAAGAGATTTCATTAAGTGCTCTGAATGGACAAATTAGGTTATTAAAAGGCAATTTATGCAATACTAATGGTGTATAACTGTCTACTAGTATGAAAATGAGGGATAATTATTACCAGCGTTGATGAGATCTGGATCAACTTCTTCCTCTGTTGGGTAGGGGCCCTGAAATATTCAAAAAGCACAAAAACAGTACTTATAAATGCTTTTATGAGGAGCGTAAAAATCACTCATATTAATACAGAAATAAATATGAAATATAACAACAACATTTAAAGGGTTAGTTCACCCAAAAATTAAAATTCTGTTATTACTCACCCTCATGAAACCCGTAAGACATTCGTCCATCTTCGGAACACAATTTAAGATATTTTTGATGAAATCTGAGGGCTCTCTGACCCTCCCATAGACAGCAAGGTAACTACCACATTCAAGGTCTAGAAAAGTACCAAGATGATCGACAAAGTAGTCCGTGTGACATCAGTGGTTCAACTGTAAAGTTACGACGCTACGAGAATACTTTCACTTTGGACGCACGTTCACGACAGTATCATGACGCGAGTGTGTGGCGGCGCTGACCCAGATCCGGCGTGATCCAGCGCCAGCGCGGCCACACGCGCATGATACTGTCGTGAACGCGTGTCCAAAGTGTAGAGAAGAGACGAAAATGTGGAATAAAGTTTTGGGTGAACTAACCCTTTAAAGTTAAATGGAGCCAAGGATTCAACTGTTGCTTCATGTGCAGTAGATGAAGAACATTTACACAGATCTGACGTTTTTGTGTATGAATTCATTATTGTTCCTTTCATATATAATACCTACTGTACATCTAATAGCAGTAATATCTGACATTAATATTTCTATCATACAAACTACAGATCCAATTGAAATGTACACTACCGTTCAAAAGTTTGGGGATGGGAATTTTTTTTTAAGTCAAGTCTCACATGATCACCAAGGCTGCATTTATTTGATCAAAAATACAGTAAAAACAATTGTATTGTGAAATATTATTACAATTTAAAATATATTTTCTGTTTTGATGTAATTTTAATATATTAAAATTATATATATATATTAGTGTCACATGATCCTTCAGAAATCATTCTAATATGCTGATTCACTACTCAAGAAACATTTCCTATTATCATCAATGTTGAAAACAGTTGTGCTGCTTGAAAGTTTTGTGGAAAGAAAGTTCAAAAGATCAGCATTTATTTAAAAAATAAATCTTTTGTAACATTATAAATGTCTTTACTATCACTTTTAATACATTTTATGTGTCCTTAACGAATAAAAGTTTTCAAAACACTTTTGAAAGGTAGTGTAGTTTCTAAATAATTTATACTTCTGCATGTCAACATTTCAAAAACAACAACAACTTTTTTTAAAGTGATTTTCTGTCTCAAATGGTTAGTGACAGTATCATGACGCGAGTGTGTGGCGGCGCTGACCCAGATCCGGCGTGATCCAGCGCCAGCGCGGCCACACGCTCATGATACTGTCGTGAACGCGTGTCCAAAGTGTAGAGAAGAGATGAAAATGTGGAATAAAGTCATTATTTTTGTTTTCTTTGCGCAAAAAAGTATTCTCGTAGCGTCGTAACTTTACAGTTGAACCACTGATGTCACACGGACATCTTTGTCGATCATCTTGGTACTTTTCTAGACCTTGAATGTGGTAGTTACCTTGCTGTCTATGGGAGGGTCAGAGAGCCCTCAGATTTCATCAAAAATATCTTAAATTGTGTTCCGAAGATGAATGAAGGTCTTACGGGTTTCGAACAACACGAGGGTGAGTAATTAATGACAGAATTTTCATTTTTGGGTGAACTAACCCTTTAAAGTTAAATGGAGCCAAGGATTCAACTGTTGCTTCATGTGCAGTAGATGAAGAACATTTACACAGATCTGACGTTTTTGTGTATGAATTCATTATTGTTCCTTTCATTTATAATACCTACTGTACATCTAATAGCAGTAATATCTGACATTAATATTTCTATCATACAAACTACAGATCCAATTGAAATGTACACTACCGTTCAAAAGTTTGGGGATGGGAATTGTTTTTTAAGTCAAGTCTCACATGATCACCAAGGCTGCATTTATTTGATCAAAAATACAGTAAAAACAATTGTATTGTGAAATATTATTACAATTTAAAATATATTTTCTGTTTTGATGTAATTTTAATATATTAAAATTTTATATATATATATTAGTGTCACATGATCCTTCAGAAATCATTCTAATATGCCGATTCACTACTCAAGAAACATTTCCTATTATCATCAATGTTGAAAACAGTTGTGCTGCTTGATAGTTTTGTGGAAAGAAAGTTCAAAAGATCAGCATTTATTTAAAAAAGAAATCTTTTGTAACATTATAAATGTCTTTACTATCACTTTTAATACATTTTATGTGTCCTTAACGAATAAAAGTTTTCAAAACACTTTTGAAAGGTAGTGTAGTTTCTAAATAATTTATACTTCTGCATGTCAACATTTCAAAAACAACAACAACTTTTTTTAAAGTGATTTTCTGTCTCAAATGGTTAGTTCACCCAAAAATGAAAATTAGCCCATAAATTACTCACCCTCAAGTCATCCTTGCGCAACGTTGACCTCATACGTCATCCGCCCTGAGCTGCTTCAGTGTACAACAGTGAGCGCAAGCTACATTAAAGTGATTATTAAATTTTGAATATGGAAATTTTTCTTACAAAAACGCATTGATTCGCTACAGAAGGCCTTTGTTCACCCCCCCGGAGCCGTGTGAGACACTTTTTTTATGGATGGGCACTTTTTATTTAACTTCTTTTGGACTGAAGCATGCAACACCCGCTGAGTGCCATGAAACAGCTTGAAAGATCAAAGACAATTTTTAATATAACTCCGACTGGATTCGTCTGAAAGAAGAAAGTCATATACACCTAGGATGACTTGAGGGTGAGTAATTTATGGGCTAATTTTCATTTTTGGGTGAACTAACCCTTTAACATAAACATGAATACAAGGACAATAAAATCATAACAGACAGGATTTTCAAATGCTTGTATAACTGAATTTCTAACCATATTTAGCAAATTCAATACAAATCTGTGAAAGGAGAACTTACCAGCCCCAGAATGCCATTTTCACTCTGCAGGTGGACGGTAATATCCGGTTTAATGAAATTACTGGCCAGCATGGGGATTCCGATGCCCAGGTTAGCTAAAAATGTAATCAAACCGCATTAATGGATTATCAAGAGAGACACACAGGAAATTAAATTTTTTAGTAAACATTAAAGCCATTGTTGCTTATAATTATTGGCTAAAATTAAAGGAAAATCTCTCCAAATTTCAGAATAGTTTTCAAGTGCTTGTAATATAGCACACAAGCTGTGTGATTCACTTCTATTATTCGCTGAAAGCTTCGATCACCATTCATTGTAATTGCATGGCAAAGACAGATTCTTCAAAATTTCCCCTTTTTTCGTTCACAAAACCGCCATACAGTTTTGGAACAACATGAGGGTGAGTACATGTTGACTGAATTTTTTTTTTTCAGGTAAACTAAATAAAAGAGTGACATGGTCTGAAACACTGTACATACCGTACATCCCGTCCTCAAACTCCAGCGCAGCTCTGCGAATAATCCTCTCTCTCACAACATCAGAGTCTTTCTTGGCAAAGACAGATTCTTCAAAATTCCCCCTTTTTTCGTTCACAAAACCGCCATACATGAGGGTGAGTACATGTTGACTGAATTAATTTTTTTCAGGTAAACTAAATAAAAAAAGAAGAGTGACATGGTCTGAAACACTGTACATACCGTACATCCCGTCCTCAAACTCCAGCGCAGCTCTGCGAATAATCCTCTCTCTCACAACATCAGAGTCTTTCTTGGGTTTGGGATTTTCAGCCTGGCCTTTCTTTACTGTACGCCTCTGCAAAAGGTCAGACAGAGGGGTGGCAATAAGGAGAAAAAAAGATGAAGGAGGATAGATGGATAAAGGATAACTGATAGAAACGAGCCAGACAAGTCAAGCCACCTCACCTCGATCCGCTTCTCGTAGCGATCTCCCTTGACGATCCGGTGGACGTAGATGCTGGGGATGTGGATGTCTTCTGCTGCAAATGTGCCCACGTCTGCAATCTCCTCAACCTGAAGACAGAACATAGACCAGCTGATGATGACAATGATACAGTAAGAAAGTAACTACAGATGGGCAGAATTGCTGACTACCAGTTCAACAACAAGCTTGTTGATTAGAGTGGTCAAGATTTATTTAAGTAGCTTTAAATGTCGTTTGCAGTGGGTGCCATAACCTCTCAGAGACAGTTTTTGTATGTTGACAGCATGTAGCACTTAGCATGCTAAGAGTCTATAAGTACTGTCAGCATGGCAAACTGTCAGATAAGTTGCTTCTCTAAATTCATCCCTTTTAAAGCACTGTCGCACTACAGATCACCTGCCATGAATAATGTTTTGGCTATTTAGCATAATCCGTAAGGATCCTTTTTTGTAAGGACTATAATTTTCTGCAATAAAAGAATGTATATATTTAGCCTATTTACTTGCTGAATGTCAGTCAGTATATACAAAAGTTTGGGGTCAATAAGATTTGTATTTTTTGTTTTGGAAAAAGATACATTTTATTCAGCAAGGATGCATTAAATTGGTTTGAAAGTGACAGTAAAGACTTTAGAAAAAAATTCAGTTTTCAAAGAAATGTTTCATGAGGACCAAATTAGATTGATTTCTGGTGGATCATGTGACACTGAGTGAAGACTGGAGTAATGATGCTGAAAATTCAGCTTTGCCATCACAGGAAAAAATTACTGTCTGCCATGAGGCAGCTGCCACTTACTTTCGTTATGTTGTTTATGTTTATATTGTTATTAAAGTTACACATGCCGGTTTCTGCCTCCTTCTTCCCAGAGTCTTTAAATTTATTACATGCATATATAAATATATACACATACACACTTTCCTTAAATCATCCTGGCGATCTATTGTCTCAAGACTCTTGGGTGGGGTTTGAAAACCTGCAATTTAAATGGACGCCAGGCTAGATGACAGTTCAGTGTCTGACAATACATCAGTGCCCTGTATCATCATCTATCATCAGCTCTCTGTCTGCGATCCATTACAGCTGAAAAAGTACTACACACTGTAGGTCAAACTGCCCCTGAAAATGGTGGAGACGCCTTACACTGTGTCAAATGTAAGAAAAAGCTTTGATTCTGAATTCAGATATGTTGATTTTGCCTTTATCGACTTTACACAGCATTGATATGGGCAGCTTTGAGGACCCTACAGGGAACAATAAACCTGTCACATATAAGCAGCCTGATTGAGGAGGGTTTGCCCTGCAAATGGGAAAATGTTAACCTATCTGTCTTAGGAGACTAGAGAATATGAGAATCAGGGAATGAAGTGCTGACAGCAACTCAAGACTCAAAAAAAAAAAAAGTTTACTTGAAGTAAAATTTCTAATACTTCTTTATATATCAGGCTGAAGTCAGTTTTCATAAAAGCAGGGTTTACAGAGATGTTTGGCAGAATGTGCACAAAGCTCTTGTCATAGCTCTTTTACATACAATTACATGACCAAAAACGACCATTATTAATAACAAACCTGGTGATTAATCAACAACATTCATTCCACACTAGCTATCAATATTTGTGAATTTTATTATTTGCATATTCTAAGTTGGCACTTCTAACCTGTTACAGGAAACACAAAAAACAATAACATTTACCATTATTAACCGCAAACCTAGTGATTAATTATTAATACCCCAATACTAGTGTATATTACATTTGTGCAATTTTAATATTTGCATATAAGAAAATATGCAAAATATGCTTTTATAAGAAACACAAGAACCAATAGCATTTAACTTTATTAATAACAAGCCTAGTGATTAATTTCTAGTACTCCATTACTAGTTCATTTCTGCAATTTAAATATTTGCATATTCAACCTTGGCACTTGGAGAAACACAAGAACCAATAGTGTTTACCATTACTAATGACAACCCTGGCGATTAATTATAAATGCTCCATACTGATAATTAATATCCCATTTGTGCAATTTTAATATTTGCATTTTCAAATGTGGCATATGTAACCATTTACGAGAAACACAAGAACCAACAGTGTTTACCATTATTATCAACAAACCTGGTGATTAATTATTAATACTCCAAACTAATAAATAATTAATATCTCATTTGTCCAAGTGTAATATTTGCATACTCAAATGTGGCACTTGTATCCAGTTACAAGAAACAAGAGAACCAATAGTGTTTGCCATTACTAATAACAAACCTATAGAGATTAAATATTTGTAATACTCCAAAATTAGTGATTAATATTTAATTTGTGCAGCTTTAATATTAACCGGTTACTGTAAACGTTTAACCGGTTACAAGACACACAAAAAACAATAGCATGTGAAACATCCTGCTAAAAAAAAAACTCTGTTTATGTTTCATGGAACAGAGAAAATGATACGTTTAAAAATTTTACATTTTTGATGAACTTTGTGATCAGTAATTATATAGTGTAAACTCATTTGACGCAGATTTGATTGATTATGTTTTCAGAAACGTGTTTTCATCCGCATCCTCCTGTGATGAATGTTGATGTTGTGTACCTGTTCTGGTGGTGTGTGTGATAACAGCATAATGTCGCACACGCAGTTTCACAGACAGCGCCACTGAGAGCTCAGAGAGCAGCTAAGCACTCCTTTAAGGACCAAAAATAAGCTCTTAAAATACTGAACAAAAACGTGAAGCTCAGATAAAGGCTCAGGGGATAAACACAATTCGCCAAGAACCAAATCGATGCGCCCAAAGCATGTTTAAGCCCTGCAAATGTGCACAAACAGAGAAAAGAGGCCAGGCTTCCTAAGGATCCTACCACCAGCGCACCAGTGTGCCTTTACTTGTCAAATTCAGCACACTTGTGCATTGTACATAAAGGGATATTTCCTGAAATCGGTGCATATTACAAATGTGTCCTCTGCACGCGGCACCGTTAGAAACGGCAAAAAGATGAGCCTAGATTGAGCTGTGTTGCTGTTGTCATGGTTACCGCTGGTAGCATTTGGCTTTTTATCATTAGACGGGCTGCGCAGGACGGCGAGTGATTGAAGGGCTCAGGCTTCCAGACGGCCTAAGGGTTTAATGCAGAGCTCTGGAGAGTTTGCTGCCTCATTAACCCTTCATGCACACGTCATACAGTAGGAAACAAAATGATAGCATATTGGTTAAAGGAACAGTACACCCAAAATGAAAATGGTCATTATTTACTCAACCTCATGTCAGGCCAAATCTGTATGCTGTTACATAAAATTGTCATTATTAAAGAAACTTTGCAATTCAAATAAATTAAAAAAATGTTTTTATTATTATTGAACTAATCCTTTAAAGTGACAATTAGGGAGGTGAATATTATATTATATTACATTATTAAAAAACAACTGCAGTAACTGCATTTATATTATACTGAAGTATTTTTAATTTAGAATGTTGTAGATGTATGTACTGCTTTACATTGATGCATTTATATTATATTGCTTTCTTTTATAGTATATTACATTATATATGAAAAATAACTGCTTTATATTGATGCATTTATATTTTATATAATAAAGTATTTTAATATTTAATGTGAAGAAATAGTGTGTATACTGATTTACATTTGCTACATTTTTAATATTTTATATTATATAAAATATTTTATTTTATACTATATTATATAAAAATTGCTGCTTTGTATTGCTGCATTTATATTATATTCTAAATAATATTTTTAATTTATAATGTGAAAAGGTAGGGTGTATACTGCTTTACAATGCTACTTATATTATATTATATATTATTATATTACGTTATAAAAACACAAATGATCAATTATCAATTAGTTAGTGTTATAATATTAGTTAATATTATTTTTTAAATAATTTTATAAAATAAGACATATGCTTTTGACAGATTTTTGAGCTATAAATTACATATCATATACAGATATCTCATGATACTGTGTCACATATTATCTATCTATCTATATCTCTCTCTCTCTCTCTATATATATATATTATATACACGGACACACACACACACACAAGTAGCCCCCAGGAATAAACTCAGATATTGACATATCTTCCTCTGAAGTGGCGTTTGGTCTTCAGTGGGAATGAAAATAAGTTTGATGTCACCTAGAAAGAAGGAAAACAGGGATACAAAATCCCTGAGGGATACAGAGAAACCTTTTTTCGCAGGATTTGTTCTTTTTTTGGACTAAGATCCTCGTCAAAGCCAGTTAAATCTACAGAAGCTGATGGACCCATGTTGTTGTAATGAAACAGCTGGTGTCTCGATCAGAAACATGCAGTGGATATATTCTACATATCACTTAGAATGAGGCAGGTAGCTAAAAATGATCACGTGTTTATTTTTGCATGTCTCACTTTATACCAAATGCCAAGCACAGGCAACAGAAGGCGCACAAATAAACCATAATCTTCAAAAATAGTTAGGCATTGTGGCAATGTATGATGAGACAAATCTAAATCCAAAAATCCAATGGAGGCATGAACATTACTAAGCTAACAACATGTGACATTTTCTAAAAAAAAAAAACACAAAACAAGGTATGTTTAAAAATACTGAGGATAGATTTTGTGTAGTAGTGTTTTTGTACAGTGTTGTGTGTTTTTAAATTAAAAAACAAACAAACATATATTTCTTCTCTTCTTGGTCCTCTCCAGATGTTTTTGAAACAGGTTTCAGCTCAGTAGGAGTATGTTAGAGGAGTCCTGGCCTATCAGCAGCATGCACCTTGAGGGTCCGCCAACCTGAGGCTAAATACAATTTCCACTTCACTCAAGTGGCCCTTGAGGGAAATATGCACCAACTGAAGAAAAGGGGACCTCTAAAGAAACAGGTACGTTTTAAAAATGGTATTTATCGACATGTAGCACATTTTCAAAAAATGAATCTACACCAAGGGCCTTTCAAATAAATGAATAAGGCAATCTACAATATAAATAGTTGATTATCATACAGTCTCTGCGCATAGTACATATTGTGTGTGTATATATATATATATACACACACACACATACACTCATACATATATATATATATTTT